CCCGGCAGCGCAGGGCGAGCCCCGAGCGGCTCTGAAAGGAGAAGTTGTGCTGCCTTAGCTCGCAGCTCCTGCCCACGGAGCACAGCCCGGCACGGCGCAGCCGGCCAGGGAAAGCGGGCTCCGCAGCACGGGCTCCTGCCGGCCGCCCCGAACTGCTCACCATTTCTTTAGGCCACAAAATGACAGCTGACAAGTTTGACAAAAAAAAAACCCCAAACCCAGAAAATTATTATTTTGACTATTTAGAGTATTCCTGGTACTCTGCTTGAAAGAAACTCCAACCTGCAGACATCTTTTTGTTTTCTTTTTAGTGCTCCGTGACTGACGTACGAATTTTTCACAACTGTCTGAAAAAACCCCTGGTGTTCACACAAGCAAACCAAGATCATTTCCAGCTCACTACTTCTCCGGCCTGCCCCGGCAGTGAGCGCAGCCCTCACACCGTGCCCGCAGGAAGAGCTCCCGGCCAGCGCTGGGGACCTTCAGTCACCCCTGGGGACTGAGCCCATAGGGACTGAGCCGGAGAAACGCTCTGATTTCTGAACCAAAAAAATTTACTTACAACTACCTAATGTTATTTTCAACTATTTTTAAAGTGCATTAGCTTTTCTCTTAGGAACAAACGTGTCTGAATTGAGCAATTTCATATCTGATAATCTTATAGCAACTCACACATAAAAAGCTTCAATTTATATTTTGGTGTGGCAAATGCTCTTTCTCCCTTCTCATTACGTCTACATGAAAAGGGGCTGATTTCCATTAGAAGTTGTTGATATGGAGTATGGGATATTTCAGCCTCGTGGAAAGCCTAGTGCAATGAGCTCTGGATATTTTAGCACAACAGAAATCCGCACAACCTCTGCTGAATTTTGTTGCCTTGCTAGTACAGCCTCTCCAACACCGTAAGAGATGTGTAAATGGGGTGTGTTTGACAGAAGCAGGGTAAAACTTAATAATTTGGCTTAATGCAAACAAAACCAATGATCCTAGAGAAGAGACTCAGCGAAGGTCTGAGGTCTATATAAAGGACTATATAGTCAGGACTAATTCACAGAAGACAAATGAGAGACTAGTTCACTGTGACTCCTGTTCTATAATCTGTCCCCCAGAAAATTTTAAAATTTTATCACAGCTGCTACTAATATAATAAGAGGCTCCTAAAGCAATTTTTTTCCCGATCAGGACTCTGTAATTTATAATGAAAGTATTCTCATTATCACAGGTAACTACAAAAATAAAGGCCATAAGCACTGTTTATGTTCATTGACATTGTTTCATGACAGCATAAATCAGGTTTCCACTGCATTTCTTCACAACTGCCACGTGTTTTCTTTGCAGATCAAGGACCTTGAAGTTCTCAACTGTGAATATGGCAAGAATACAATTAAGTTCCTTCGCCTTCACAGAGAGGGAAAGAAGCATTTCGTTAAAGAAGTGGAAGTGTGTGCACATCTCCGGCTGACTTCTCCTCAGGAGTACCTGGACGGGAACAATTCTCTTGTGATACCTACAGACACCATAAAGAATACTGTCCTTGTGTTGGCCAAAAAAAATGGGGTATTTTTTTTATTTTTTAACTAGCCTTACTGTTTCTTACAATTTCATTTGCAAGTATTTCTTATACTAACTTCTTATTTTCAACTGGGATATGAGATCAGCACCAAATTAATATTCAATGATTTAGGAGAGTTTTCCTCCTCCACTGCTTGTCCTATGCACACTTTCTTAGTTTTCAAGAGTCTTCTTTTCTCAGGAGCTAGTACTGTTTTTTGTGGATTTGTCATATAAAAGCAATCTCTTTTAAAAAGAATAAATAATTTAATACCCCATAATCTTGCATTATTCCTATAGAGTATTTTTAAACAGAAGGTCTCAAAGTATGAGACTCCTCTTAATTCTTCTGTGTTCTTACTGCCATCAATTGCATGCATCGTAATGATAATCTGAAGCACTAAATTTCTCCATAATGAAATCCCATCTTTACCCTGTAAAACTTAATTAGAATATCACCCTATCAATCAGAATAATCACGATAAATTATTATTTCAGCATTATATCCTCGAAGCATAAGACTCCTGCAGCAGTTTCTCTCAGTCCAAGGACTACAGCTCACTGTACCACAGAATGGGAGATTTTTGACACAACTGTAGCTGCTATTTGCAGCATATGCTGCAAGCTGGTCAAATGACTGGGCATAGTGAGCCAAGCTAGGAATAAGAGAAATGTGTTTTTAACTGCACTGATTCTTCCCAAATACTTACAACAACCAGAAAAATCTGCTTTTGTACATGAGGTAATTGCTTCTTTCTAACAATACTGTTTGCTGCCTTAGATCCCAAGTTTAGAACAATTTGCTATAGATATCTGCAATCACTTCATGACAACATTTTGCCAAGTGGCCTACGTCAAAACCTACGTTCAAGAAGTACCATGGCAACGTCTGCATGAGGTATCTAAAACACTAATACATTCCATTTGTTTATACTGTAGTCATTCCTCACTCTCTTAGCTCCTGTTTTCAAATTAACATAATATTTATGGTACTTTTACTTACATGTCTGCTCTAAATTGCAGGATGGAGTTCCCCACATCCACTCATTCATATGTGTTCCTGATGGAATCCGCTTCTGTGAAGCTGAGCAGTGCCGGAATGGTGAGAAAAGAATTCTCTGTAAATATTTCTGCCAATGAGAAGTGAAGATGGCTTTAGAGATAGCTATGGCTGTTACAGGGCTTAGGGCACAGCCAAACTGCTCCAGAGGTCTAAACAAAAGAATATTTTTATAGTGTAATTTTGATGTTCTTGATCTCTGAGATGTGGCTGAAGAGCTAATGTAGCTCCCGTTTGTATATATATTTGTATAATATTTGTATATTTGTATAAATATATCCCAAACATGGAATGGTTACAACAGCACATCCAGCAGGACTGTTACATCTTGCCACAGGATTTAACAGCCTTTTGAGAACAGGCTGTTTACTTTTCTACCTTGTACTATAACCTGCAGTCTCCTCTGATCCTTACCTGATACCACACTGCTGCAGGCCAATTGCCTGGTTTGCAGTAATTTTCAAACCCCTGTCAATAGGCCCTGATTTTATTTCTAAGAAAGCAATTTCATTGCTGCAAGCCAGACTAGCTTGAACACTGTGAGCATGCAGGTCTATATGTGAACCATTTTTCACATGAAAATACTTCATTGTGCTTACTACTTTTGCACACCATGCATAAACAAAGTATTTGGCTTGGCAAAGAGTTTTGTGATATTTAAAAGACAGGCTTTCAAGCTCAGCTGTCTGTCCATGAATTGGCATTCCAAAGGGAGCGAAAAACTCATCTCTACTTGCTGTAGCTTGCAACAAAAGCCTAAGTTCAGTCTCACTGTGATGGTGTTTTGTTTAATACATCTCCTGGATTACTGGGGACCAAGCTGAGCCCACTATTTCATTTCACACAATGGCTTTAGAGGGTTTAGGCTTTAGTTCAGTACCTATCCATAACACATGAATGTTACCTGGAACTATTTCCCATCTTGCCCAGAACCAGTGGCAAGACCAGTTGCAGACAGGACACAAGTTTCGAAAGGTGCATTTGAGCACTGTCCCTGTGTTCCTGATGAAAGAACAGAGAAAGCCTGCACAAGTCTCCAGTGCTTCTTGGCCTCATCTTTTTTAATGTTTCTAGTAATATTAACTATTGCTGTACTTTTGGCAGCCTCAGTAGTATTGATTGTATTTTCTGGAAAACGTTAAGACACATGAATTAAAAAAAAAAAACAAAAAACCAAAAAACCAAAAAGAATCTATATTTTTTGGAAAAGCTACTGCTCTTAATGTAGATTGTATTAAATTTTTCATCATCATAAAAATTTAACATGCAATTCTGCAACCTCAGATTCTACACAAACAGAAAGCCTTTATGGCTTACTGAAGAAACCACCTTTCCCTTCATGCAGCCCTTTAGTTGTTTCTTTAGAATTCCCTGCCTAAGTGAACAATAACCAAAGTGAAGATTTTCAAATCACTTTTATTTTTCTTCAGAGAGAATATTCTCTATATTTAGCATCCTCCTATGCACCTATCAGCCAGACACAGGAGTTCATTTCAGTTAATCCTATCTTTTAACAATTTTCTTACCATGAAAAAAAACAAAACCCTAGTGAGGTTTAATAGAATTATTTTTTGCCATTATATCAGCTGATAAAAGGCTCCAAGTTTTTTGGAAACTCAAAACATCATAAGTAACTTAACAGAATCAAAATTTGTCAACTGAAGACAGCACGATCACAAAGCTTCCTGAAAGCACAGCTTGAGCTGTTCACCTTGGAAACTCTCCCTGGGTGCTGTATCCTTTGGAGTGAGTTTCAGGTTGATTGCTGCACAGCCAGCCAGCCTTTCAGTCAATCTTTTGTTACAAGGAGCTCTTTCAAACAAGGAAAAGTATTTGAATATAAGACAAATATCTCTCCAGGTTCACTGATAGTATCTGCATTACATTAATACCTGTGTGTCACAGTCTTATATCCAAGTGATGAATTACTCAAGATCTGTACAAACCCCAGAATATCCTGTCCAAGGTCAGTCTCTTCTTTTGATCTTTTTAAAGCTTTAGTAAATAACAGGGGGACATAGGCAAAATGATATATATACCTCCTTAGATTAATTCAAAACCAAAAATGAATGTAAACAAGAAAAGAAACAGGTAAGATGTAGTTTCAATAATATCCAGTCACAGAGCATTTTAAAAACACCCAAACCTCTAAACAACCATGCAATTTAGATATAACTACCAGGGTGGAATTATTTCCAATATAAATTCCTTCAAAGACATCATTTAAAGACAAAATTTGTCAGTCTTCCAAATCCAAGTCAGGATTACAATGCACTTGACATATTCAAGGCTTAATTTTGAACTAGCTAGCGTGAGCACCAAGAGCAGCACAAAACCAGCAGCCTGGGCTTCAGCCACTGGCTATCTGCACAGGCCCTGAATGAGCCTGCATGCCATGAAGTTTCTCTTTTCTGAATTTTTGGTAGTTCTGGTTAGTGAATTTTTCAGTTACCATCTTGGTGTGCTCTAAGTGACTGACTGCTTGAAATTGAAATAGCTGCTATTCAAAAGGTGTGAAAGAAGAAAAAGTTCAGGTCACAACTGCTTGGTCTTTAGAAGACAATGATTCACCCATGCAGCAATGATCCTCAACAGCTTGTTTTATAAATAGTGGCTAAGAGCAAAGTCACGGTTGGTTTGGACCTGTGGGTGGCATCTGTATCAGTGCCAGTTCCTGCTCATTAGCTGAACTGCAGGGATTTGCATTGGCTCTGGCTTTGATTCTCAGAGATGCAAAACTTCCAACAGGATGGGTATCTAAGGCAAATTACTGACCAAGACTCTGTCTTTATACAGAGAATTTTTACATTTGTCTGTGCTCTTGGAAAAGGCACCAGACCTCTTGCTGCGTGGTAGCCTATTTAATTTCCCTTTAAAGGCATTCCTAAATTGACATCAGCACAAGCCAACACAATCCACGTTACAGTTCCAAGCAAGTGAGATAAAAAAGTCTATCCTCAGTTTTCCTTAACTGCAGATCCCTTGACGGGATTCTCTGTTTTCTAGACTGAGCCTGACTTCAGTAGTTTCTGTCTTGTTTCTTACCTTTCTGCCAATATCAGTGTGCAGAAATCCACTGTCTGCTTTCTGGCTCTGGAGCCGTCAATGCAAGTATGCACCCAAAGGTTTCTTTCTTTGCGTGAAAAGAAGCTCGTATTTTCTTGTAATTTTCAATCCCAGGTCCTCTGGTTGTCTTTGCTGGAATTAAGGACCTGAAACTTATGAAGACAACGCAGTCTGGATTTGAAGGCTTCTGTAAGGATGAACACACCACACTTCCTGAAAGGCATGACAGGATTCTGTGTGGAGAGCTCTTCTGCAAATGGTCATATGGCGAATGCAAGGATTTTGACTTTGACTGCATATGGTATATGTTATATCAAGTAATACTAATTTCCCAATCTATACTCACAAAGTCCCTCTATAAAATACAGAAGGTGTAAGGGCCAGATTCACACCTGTTGTGCACCAGCCACTCACAAGTCTCAGTGGCAGCACTAAGCTCTTGCTACACAGGGTGAGAGGCATGTCTTAGGGGTACTTCCCCCTCTCAGGGTAGATCATTGCACGGGATTCAGATGAACAGTTCAGTGTTCAGTATACTTTAGGAGAATAATGTAACTAATTTGTTAAATAGTTTTAACAAAACTTATTTGTGAATTATATATCTGGTGGGGGTGGGGAGAGGAAACAGAATTTGGGTGACAGGACAAATTGTTCTTCCACAAAATCCCATGAGCTATTTGTCAGAAAAGACATGCAAAATATAAAAAAAAACCACCCCACAGCAGAGCATAATAGACTGAAGCAGAGACAGCTGATACAAGGTATTTTAAGAACCTGTGTTACCTCTAGGAAGAAAATCCGTGAATGTATCCTTGAAGCCTTTGCTGGACCACCTGACTGTGGGGAATATTCACCCTCTTACCAGAAAACTGTCAACTGTATCCAGATGCTTGTCCTTTCCAGAGTGTCACAGGTATCTTCTTTCCTCCTAATGATGTTTTACTTCAACAATAGTGAATGTTAATTGCACCACTGAGAAGACCAACATGAGACTGTTATTTCCTCTGTCAGTTCTAAGACTGGCAACTCCCCAGCTGGGAACACAATGTGGGAGAACTTCACTCAGTTCTTGGCAGCCCTTGAATAAAAGTGAAAGGTGTGCTACACATGTTCACTAGATTACATTTGATCAACTGTACTGGGGGAGGGTGGGGTGGCATTGTTCTTTTTTACACAGAGTGAAAAGCTTGCCAGGCTGTTGACTGAAAAGGTGCCCTAATTCATTGTCTCATCCATTCTCATGGTTTCAGGTACAGGTCATAGAAGTCGTCTTGAACAACACTTTTTATAATGTTGTAGACATGAAGAATCTAGGCTTGACCAATGACAAAGAAGTAAGTAACTGTTTTAAATACAACTTGACTGTCCGCTTTAGAAATACTCAGCCTCAAAGCATAGCAGCAGTTCTTCATAAAACAGAGTTAAAGTGAGCAAGCTTTCTTCCCCCGTCCCAATAAAAGCTCCATATTACTTCTAAAAAGACTTACATTGATTGCAAAAGGAGGATGAATAATTTTCTTCTTGTGGTATTGGTAAAAGCTAAAGGTCAAGTGGAATACTCTGGACATCAAAAGGATCTGTAACAGAGACTGTCTCTGAAAAATTATTCCTGTTTTCTCCACTGAATTTTACTCTCAATTAACAATTACAATTAACCTGGGCATTTTACCCAAGCAGAATACACTGTGGCATCCCAGATTGGTCCAACAGTGGATGAGGTACAAGCCTGGGATCAGGCAGAGGGCATGAGGTAGGGGGTGAGATGCATTTGCTCCTCCCTCCACAGCTGCTCTAGCACAGCTAGGTCCAGCTGAAAGTCTATTACTCTCATATGAAAGAGAAAAATTGAGTTACTCCATTTGACATCAATGGTCTATAGTCTGTTTATTATCTAGTCTCCCTCCAAAGTCTGCTACTGGGCTCTGCTATCCTTTCCCTCCTTCATGTGGACATTACAGATCCACTTTTACTTGTGATAATGTCAGCATCTAGCACTGATGTTCATAAGAGAGGGAAAGAGTCTGGGCATGATTTTATAAGGAGGCGAATAGCTGCATTTTTCTGCTGGCACATCCTCATCTCAAACATAACCTTTGTGTTTGTGCTTATGCCCCTCAGGTTTTCGTTCCAGTGGAAGCTCCTTATGGCTCCTGTGCTTGCACACTTGGCAGGAAGAAGTTTTTTGAAGTACAAGCCCACATGCTGAGAGATGAGAGGAAATGTCAGCTTGGACTGGCAGCTGCCCAGGGCAACTAAACTTCTTGGCTATACTCAGCCTTCCTGATAAACTTAATAGCATGGCTTTCCTATAAATGTTTACTCCTTATTGGCCTCTTCCATTGCTGACTACTTTTCCCTGCATGGAAAAATACTCCTGAACATGGGATTTATGAAGGACCCTCAGGAAATCAGAAATCAAAGTTTGCCCCTGAATTCCAATGTAATTTGCAGACTGAAGTGCCTTAAGCTCTTTGGAAAATCCCAGCTGGAAACATTATAGTAAACTAATTTTTAAACTACCTATTCCCAGACCTTTTAATGAAATAATTAATTTGATGTTTGTAACATGTTTTTGACATGTAAAATCAAGAAATCACCATATTCTCTTTATTAATATTTCTTCAGTAAAATGAAAACACAGGCACAAGACCTGCTGTTTCATTGACATAACCTGTCATGACCCCTTGATGCCACACTGATCTACAGAGCTGAGGTTCTCACCCAGTGACAGGAAATCAGTCAGAATAGGGATTTCTTTGCACTGGAAATGAGAAAAAGAAAAAAGAAAAAGCATCTCATATCTCCTTTGTGGTGTGAATAGTTAGAGCTGTTGACTACTTTCTTTGCACATATTCTGACTGCATGACTGCTGCTGCTACTCATCAGACTATAGTTACTATAGTACTTTTACATTAATCACTGAGGTGATATGAAGGTTTGGGCTATCTCTGTAGGTTTAATTAAACAGTTTTCTTTAGTCTAATAGTCTTATCATGACTTCTGAGCAGGCAGGAGTCAACATACATAGCCCTTTTACATTTGGGAGGGGTAGGGAGAAAACTAGATAATGCATATTTTACTTTAGTTACCCCAGGCAATAGCTTTGAACATTGAGATAAAACAATACAGTCAATAATTCTCATCTCACAAACTGTGGCTACATTTGCAGCAGGAATCCTGCTCAGCTTCCAACAGCTTCTAACCCTTGCTCTCATTTTCTCCGAGTGTCATTTTCACAGACTCCATGTGACAGAGTACAAATTGAATGGGAAGTGCCCAAAGTAACTCCTAAAAACTGCAGTTAAGTTGCCTTTGTGCCTCCTGAGCTTGGCAGATGTGCAGCACTGCTCTGGGTACAATCATTAAATTCATAGGCACCAAAAATGAGGGAGATGTTCTGCTCTGTGTGACCTTTTGAGGTGCTTTGCAAGATAGAAACTTGCCTTGATGAGCAGGGCATAACAGATGCAAGGGCAGAACAGTCCCCCAGCCCGAGCTATCTCCTGAACAACAGGGAAAATGACACCATGGAGTGAAGCTGTACCAGCTATGATGTTCTCTGGTCACCAGCCAATTCTGAAAGCTTTACTTACAACACTTCCAGCTTTTCCTGGGGACATTCTCGCTTACCTTCTTAGATTTTGTTGTAATGTACTTGCGGGCTTATGTCTTGCTACTTCTGTCACTTCTACATGCTTTTAATTTATTAAAGTATCTTTTAAAGGCAAATAAAGAGCAACATTAAAAAACAAACTAGCTTTTGAGTATTTACTACTTACATATAAATGTGAACATTGTAAGTAAAATAACTATTTTAATTCATCCAATTTCACCTCAAAAAGTGACCAACCTTCTTCCAAATGACACTTCACTACCAAGAGATGAAAAAGGATCTTAGTGAACATTTCAGCATTTACCTCTTTCTGAAACAAGGCAGATCTGCACAACCAACTTCCTTTTTACCTTCTAAGAAATCTATTGCATTAGGCACAAGGTTTCTTTATTTACTCTTTGTGCTTCATTTGTGGTCCTGCAAGGGAGTGATGGACTAATCTCCATGGCAGAATGAGGACACAAAGGAGTGAGCAGCTGTTTACTTGAGCCTTTCCTGTGGCAACAAGCACACACATACACTCGTTCAATGTGGTTTGTTTAAACCTCCACAGACACACAGGCATTCACTGTCTTTAGAGCATCTCAGTGCAGCTCCATCCAGCACTGCAAACCTGAGTCACTTACGTGGGCAGATTCCTTCTAAAAAAAGTACTTAGGCAATCGGAAGCAGCCCAAATTTCCCATATGGCAACAAGATTAATATAACAGTGGCATAAATCATTCTTGAAAATGTGAGTTAGCCAGACTCACTTGGGCCTGAAATCTGACCAAATTCCCATTGGTTTCATTAGATTCAGTCTCCACGATGGACTTGCATTAATTTCATTGAGACAGATGTTTTTTTGAGTTCCTGTCCTAAGGAGCTATTCAAGGTGCTTACTGAGCTCTACTCAGAAGCAGCTGCGGTGCTTTGCTGACAACATCACACTTGATGAAAATGAGCAGCAGCTAGCAGATTGTAAAACTGCTGTTTAAAATACAACTTCTTGCTGATAACATGAACCTTGTGGGTCCCAGACTACATCCCAGTAGTTCATAGGGGCTGAAGTCTCCTAACAGGAAACAGGGTCTTTCAAGTGCACAAACATGTTATCTTTTCAGTCTTTGACTCTGTCCCATCCTCTTTCTGTTCAATTCTGCTAAGTACCCAGGACAGTCCCTGCCTCTGCTGCTCATCATGCTCCACACACAACCAATGTCACACAGATAAAATGTACCAGCAAAACTCATCAGCCATCAGTACCTAAAACTGATGAGAGCAGATGTCACTGTCAGGGTCGGCACAAGTCATCTGTCTTCCCTGACTGTATTATTCTATATATATATTTCTATCTGCTTTCCAATAGACATTTAAACCTGCCAGTTTTCATTAACTATTACAGATACTTTTTTTTTCCTTCCCCAGAGCTGTCTTTTTCCTTTCTTAATTTAACCTTACGTTTATCAAGAGTACTTAATCCTGACTCTAAATTGAGGTGAGCAACTTAAAGTGACCAAAAAACTGTTTCTGGCTAAAAATCTCAAAATAAATACTTCTGAATTTAGAATTCCACTATTTTTATACATACAGAAACCAATCATATCCCTCCTGGAAAGTGCACAGCTGTATCTAGAAATGAAACATATAAAATGTTTCCAGTTACTGGATCAAAAATGTCAACTCACATCAGCTATATTATGAAATGTTTCCTGAGAGCTTCACCACTCATAGCAGACTGAGACACACACATGTACCTGAGTGCATGCATGCACATATACACATGTATGTGCATAAAATAAATGTATAAATGTCACTTACTAGATCAACTGATGTATGACTAATCTATGGTGATCACATCACAAAAAACACAATCTGGGGTTAGCTGCTGCTAAAACAAAAAAAACAACCCAAACAATACTCAAAATTAGATAAATGAGAGGGTAGAGAAACCTTTGATTCAGAGGGAAATACAACAGACACCAGAGTGCCTGAGTACTGTGGAGCGCTTCTGCCACTTCTCAAGTGTGGCATTAGGAATGAATTTCTACATTACATTAGACTGAGAAAGACAAGAGTTCAAGTTTTAATGGCCTCTTACTCCTGCAACGTTTCAAATCCTCTAGACACACGTATTTCCAGGTAGGAAAGCCCAGGCAAACTGGCATGTGTTATTTATGCAGAAGGGAGGAGGGATTTTGAAGAGTATCCTTGTGAAACCAGCATCCTGGTGAAACCAGGCACACACCCATTTCCACACTTCTGTTCCCACAGTTTGAACACCAGCTTGTGAACAAACTTAGCCACAAGTTCCTTACTTTGACTTCCTTCCTCCTTCCACCATCCACTAGGACAAGACAAAGCAATGTTACTCTTGAATCCAAAAGATCAGTGCAAATGATGAGCCTTCCCTCCCTTTTCTGGTAAAATTTAGCTGCTAAAATCAGAGGCATCCTCAATATAGTAAGTATCAAAGAGTGTACTCTGTAGAGGGGCAGCTGGATTATAGCAATCATCCAAAAAGGGGAAGAGAATATCCTGAGATGAATGCAAGTCTGCCAATGCCAAGACATTTGCTGCTGCCTTATCAGCAGATCAGCTGATGATACAGCAGTTGTAACTGCTGACTGCTCCTTCAGCAAGGATGCTCCTGAGTGCAGCACATAAATACAACAGTAGTCTCCAGTACTCACCAGCAGCCTTCAGCAGCAATGAAACTCACATGGAGACCAAGAACCACTTACAGGCTTCAAGGTGCTCCCCTTGGGCTCTCCAGGTGCCTGAAGTTGCATTCTCCAAATTTTTAGCAACTACCAACCAATGTTATTCTGGGAATTGAACACACATTGAAGATCCAAATGAACATCACTAAATTAACTCCCTAATTATAGGGGCTAAGCAAAAAGTAATATAATGACTATGCTACATTATTAAAAAGAAGACAGACTTTCCCAGTAGGAATGAAAGCTATTTATTAAATCAATCTGCCCATTCTTCCAATGTAGATGGCCCCTGCCAGTGAGCTAATGACAGCCACTCTCCTCAGCACTCCCCCTGGGGAAACTGATGTCCAAACTGAGCAACACAGAGGTGACACAATGGGACATGAGTGAGATCTCTCAGATGACATCTCCAAGCACCAAGTCCTCTTGTTTGATGAAGAAACCAATCCATTGCCTGTGTAAATTGCCCAAGGTGTAGGAGAAAGTAGAGCAGACCCTCCTCTGCAGTGCTCCACTCACCCTGCTGCTTATGAGCCAGTGGCTGTCACACCCTCCACATGCACATTTACAGTCATTTTATTTCACACATGACTTTTGGGCCAAGAGCCATTCCTAGAAGAGAAGAAACTGCTCTTCTGACTTGGAAGTAAAAAACCAAAATGAAGACAAAGTAAATTAATATTTTTCTGGTCCTACTCAGACTCAGCCTTTAAATTTTGTATAATATTGTCATTTAAAAAATGAGAAATAAATCTGCAGCTTCTCCCAGACTCACAGAAAATAAGACCCTCTGATTTTAAAATAACTGTCACCTTAAGTGGGATGGTAGAAAGAGGATTGTTGAAGACAAAAGATCAAC